TCGGTATCGGATCGGAAGTGCAAAAACCTGGATCGGGACATCTCTATTAGATTGTGCTGTTTTTTCTGTGTTTAAAGAGCTGTTTTCCTTTTATGTTCTTGTGCTCAGAGAAGGCACGCTGCGACCCGGGGACCGCCTTCTGAGTGTGGATGGTGTTCCTCTACACAGCGCCAGCCACAATGACGCCCTCAGTGTGTTGGCCCAGTGCGGCCAGGAAGCCCTGTTCCAGATAGAATACGACGTCACAATAATGGGTGAGCAGAATTAGGCTGTCCAGGCCTGTCAGGTAAACTGGTAAACAGTTTGCTTGAACTTAAAAACGAAGCAGCTTAATATAAAGTGAACCACAACAATCATCAAAGCTCAGAATGTTTTTTTCCTTTCAGACACAGTAGCCAACGCCTCCGGTCCGCTATTAGTGGAAATCGCTAAGTCACCCGGGGCAACACTGGGCATCACGCTGACGTCGGCTAATCATCGAAACAAGCAGGTCATCGTGATCGACCGGGTCAAACCCGGCAGCGTGGTGGACAGGTACGCATTAACACATCACTTATAAACAGAGCTTTCAGATTTTATTCATTATGATTTTTTCACATTTAACAACCACTTGCTTTTGTAATAAATAAAAGGAGAAACTGTTTTCAAAAAAATGAAATTTGGCATGTATTAGCAGCCTCCAAACTCTATTTAGAGATTATTAGTAGGCAAACAGCATCAAAAAAAGAAAGAAAAAAACATAAATTAAATTTTTTAAGGATTTAAAACTAGGATATGGTTTTAAAACACTTCAGCTTTTATGAGGCATTCATTTCTTTAAATCATTGTTAATATTTATGATTTAAAGTGAGAAAGAATGAAGCTAAACCACAAACCATCAAAGACATTTTTCTCCACCTTCAGTTCTCAGTTACAGCCTCCAACCCTCCAGGGAGGGAACTAAATCATTTGATTCATTCCTCGTCTAACGCACCTGAACTAATGGCTGAATTGCTTTCTCAGCACCAATTTTCCGAGTTCTGACCCAGTTTGTCTGAGTCTGTTCTGGTCAAACAGTTAGGGCCCTGTCACACATGGCCAATTAAAGGGCTGCACTGCAAAAACGATCTAGAAATAAGTAAAAAATTTCTTAAATTAAGTGAATTTACCCTTAATTTCAGCAGGTAAATGAGATAGTTTGCCAATGGAATGAGTATTTTTAGTCTTAAAATAAGATAATTAGGTAATATGCACTTGAAATAAGACAATGCAATTGTGTTTTCTTATTTTAAGTGTAAATTGTCTTGTTCCATTGGCAGAATGTCTCTTTTAGCAATTCAAGAACAAATGCACTTATTTTAAGAAAAAATGACTTATCTAGATTTAGATTCAATATTGAAGCGTGGTCTGCGCTATGTTATCCCACAGCAAAACGCAAGAGAGACAATGACGAATTAGCTGTGGGTTTAGATACGGACAAGGTGGAGAGGAAGTGGGGGCAAGTTTGTGCGACAACTGAGGAACATGAGGGCGAAAAAGAGCGGTGATCCAGGTGGAAAAAGGGTCCCAGCGTTCTCTCACACCTCGCTCTTCTAGCTGGTCCAGTAGAGTGGATGTAGATTTAACCACTCAGAGGCCTCCTATCTGCGGCACTGTCTGCGGTCACCTACAATTACGGAGAGGTGCAGCAGAGTGTCTGTGGAAGGGGCGGGGGGCATATCTGCGTTCACTGTGACACACAGTCAGACGTGCTGGTTTCTGAGTATGAATCAGTCTTAAAGGAAAATTCCGGTTTTTAACACTTTTAGCCCATTTTCTGTAGTGTCCAGGATGAAATCGAATGATCGACACCAAAACTTTGACGATTGGTCCTGTCTCTGCTTTTTGGCTCATGCAGAATCCCCCCCTGGCTGCTTCAGAATGGCTTCCATTGTGCATGTCCGATAATGTCCTTAAAACAACCTTAAACATTCTTTTTTTAAAATATGCTACTCACCGGGTCGTCAGCGCTGTTCAATGAC